ATGTGTATTATAGATTGCGGAATCTGGCATAATAAATTCCAAGTATATTTTTATAAAATTTGAATTTGCTTGTAGGTGGGATTTTATTTCATTGCATGTTACGGGTTTACTTTTAATATTTTCTTTAAAGGACGTACACACAACCTTATCTTAAAGTAAAGTAGTCGTATCTGCTCGGTTTATTGACGATTTGTAATTTGGTACTAGAAATGCATCTTATTCTGAGGTAAATATTTTCTCAGAGGGTTTATTGCTAACTTTGCTCTTACGACCACCTCTAAGATGGAGAAACCAGACGCTAATTACTCTAAATTCCACGTTAAATATGACGCTAGCAAGTCTGACGCACGATGTTATTTCGTTCAAAGAGAAGCATTATTTTAAACTATACTTAACCTTCAGACTCGAAAGCTGCAGAATCGAGCTAGACGATAATTGCACTAAATCCAATGATAAATGTAACATTCCCGCGTATGAGTCACTCAACAGGTTCGGTTTGCGTCGTAAAATTCACCTACAAGGAAATATTAGTTCGCTAAGCATAGAAATAAATTCAAAAATAACCTTAAGCTTAAACTGCATTCCATTTTGCGTAATATTCTTTATAAATTTTTTAAATTACAAAAATTGTTTATCTAAATTCTAAGAAAATATTACAAGGTTCGTTATGACGCTCTTCGGAGTAATCTTCTTGAAACGTTTTCCACTCTTCTTTACGCTTAAATTGCGAAGCACTATTTCTTAGGATTTACCCATGGAGCAAGAAATCAAAGATACATTTTTATGTCCATGTAGGACATTTAATCTTCCACGATTATACGCAGATTTCTTTTTTTTTTTCGGAATTTCGCCGACTCTGGAGGCGATGGCGAGACGGGACGATAAAATGTCCGGCAAAACGTCTCCTCAGTTTCGCTTTCCGTTTCTTTCTTCAACGCGGGATCGAGGCACACGATGTTACGGCTGTTCTTTCTTGTTCTTGTCATTTCAGGTCTCGCTTGAAGTGCTTGGTACGGTGGTTGGTGAACGCAGGTAAACCACCCGAAGCGACAATGATTTTCCTCGATCGGCGACTTTTCGCTGATCTCGATGACCCATCGAAAGGTCCTAACCTCCTTTCGCCGATGTTATCAAAAGAACATTGCAAAAAAAATATAACAATTCAATACAGTCGCCCAAATGGTCAAGATTTACTGAGATCCTTGTTTGATATTCGACATTGCAGGATTTATAACACGAGGTACAATCATCATTAGTTGTTTTTACCATATATATATGTACATGTATATAGTGTTTAGTTACCTAAAATATACTTGAGTACGACTTAGATCCGTATTCATGGAATAGTTACCCTTTTCACTATCAGTGGAAAAGAAGAGAAGCAAGATCTGCTATTATGAGTTTTGCATAGGTGAAGTATCAAAGCATAAACTTTTCACAGTTAATATACACCTGCCAGTTTATGCATGTTATCGCTGTTAACAATTACAGTTAACGTATCTCATGAACCTTTGAAAATATAATCAATAAGAAGTACTGCATTATATATGTACCGTTTAGTTACCTGTAATATATTTCAGTACGACTTAGATCAGTATTCATGGAATAGTTACCCTTTTCACTTTCAGTGGAAAAGAAGAGAAGCAAGATCTCGGACTTACTCGCTGTCTTTTGCAACGGCAGTGAACGTCGGACGTCTTATTTACGAATGGCCATGTGATAGTGGGCGGTAAAAGCGAAAGGGTTAAAGGTAAACGTCGATTTCCTCCATTCTCGCTTCAACTTATAACGAAATGAAGAAAGTATTCCGCGATATTCGCGTGCAGCTAATGAAACGTTAGCGAACAAATGCAGCTGCAGGGAACAATATTTACCTTGATTTTTTTCAACCTTTCAACCTCACTCGAAAGAGTGTGACATACGAATCGATACTTTCGTATGAAATCGCATATCTCTCCAATATTTAATATAAAAATGACTTTCGAATATCAAATTTATAGTTTTTCTCCGCAATTTCATAAAATTACAACAGGGTGTCATAAGATTGTAAATTTACTTAGAATTTTATAATAGATGTATAGTAATTCACTGTTTGACGTCAAATTTATAATTTTACTGCTACCTTATGTACTGAAGGTGTATGAATTTTATAAATTTTTTTGAACAGTCCGGGCTTTTCGCGATGCAAATGCAAATAGCCGGGAAGAAAATTCTTTTGCGTGAAAACGGACCCGGGATCCTTTTCGCAGACGCGTGAAAAGAAAGTAAGAATAATCCGTAGAATATTGCGCAATGCCGGTGAATGTCAGACGTCTTATTTATGAATACTTGGTCGTAGACAGCGAAAAGCGAAAGGGTCAGAGGTAAAGACGCTCTACGACTGCATATACACTTCCCTCCATTTATGATTGCGCTTGTGTTGAAATGACGGTGTCGTTGTCACAGAAATATTAACAATCAACGAAGCACTTAACCCTTTGCTTCATAACGACAAGTTACGCCCGCCTTGAATAACCCATAAAATACATCTATCGGTTGAAAGATCTCTAAGGCTAAAAGTTAAAACAATGCCATTTTTTTTTCTCGAAATATTAATATTTTTTATCCGCGGTGATGAGAAATTAATTTTTTCCGCCGAGCAACCTGCGTACACGTTGTAAAAATCAGCAAAACGTCGGGGAAAAGTATCCATTGAAAATTATGCAACAGCAGTTAATGCCAGAGGTTTTATTTATGAATAGTCCTGACTCCGGTGAATGTGTCAAAATTAAGTAAAATTTATGACGGACGCCATTTTTGTTCATTTTCATTTTCACTCGCCTCGAAATTGTGGCTTCGGTTAATGATACTAATTAAATTAGTTCAGTTGATTTCTATTGATAGAATTTTGTTGAAATTCCTGGAGTATGTACGTGAAGTGTAAAAAGTATTTTCTTTTAAGCAGATCATGCTGTTTCAAAAATTACTTACTGAACTTAAAGTAAATGTCAATTTGGGGCGGTTAATTTTAAGACGTTAGAAATATCGCAAGAACTAAATATCATCCGATATCAAATCGATAATAATTTCTGGACTCGAATATCACCGTTTAGACTTTTGCAATTTCAATTAGTTTTGTCCAAAACGAAGTTCCGGGTTGCATAATTCTATGCGCCAGTTGCTTACGAGATTTCTCTCGAGATTCAGCGAATCGTTACAAAAGCTTGATAACGATAGTTATCCGGCAATGTCTGTCTTAACGATGGGAAAGATGCGCGGGATAAATTACTTCGACATTTCAGTAGCCACTCCAGCAATTAAATTTAAAACCGTCCACTTCAGCACTCCCTGTAAGAAGTTTAATACTCGCGTGTCTTCCAGAAGTGACCTTAAACGCCATTAGCTTCGACTTCCCGATCATTTCGACGATTAATTATCGCAAAAGTCGGCATATTCATCCTGTTTATCTCGTTAGGATGATTACCTGCCCTGAGGAGAAAATTTCATTGGACCAAAGAAGCATTTCTCTGAACAGAACCAAAAAATACATTCAATTAACCCTAGAACGACCGGCAGATTTTTTTTTTTGTATGTGACGAGCCATTTGAAACAAGTCATTTTGAACCGTATTATTAGCTCCAGTGTTAAGTCAAAGAATAATTACTTGAGCGAAATAAATTCGAATAAATTGGATGCAACATCTCTTCGGAATGATATAACAATTTGAGTCAAATAATAATCCTTTGATTTAACCATATATATATTCTTGGTTTAATTAATCTCTTTTCTAGGGGTTAGATAAAAGACATCTTCTGATTTTCGGCGCCATTTTTAAAAGCGCTCGAAGCACACCTTGCTTTTGTTTCTTTCTCCTTTTTAAACAAAGCTCGTTCTTCCAGCCCCCGGAGATAAAGATAAAGATATTAGAAAGTCTTGACATAAGTCGTTGTATAATATCGGGTAGGTGCATATAATATACATCTCTACATCTATATGTACAGAACGTAGTACGGCAAAAACTAACGATTGCTAGTCGGCCGACAAAAGACGGGGCAATTTGTGGTACCGTCGTTTTCGGAATCGTAAAGCAAGCTTTACGATCTTTTCTGGGTAAGGAAAAACACGCGTCCTAATGACAATTGCGGATGCCTTTTTATGCCAGGGCGGATTTTATGCAGCGAAAAGATGGGCATGGTGGAAATAGGAAATCGCACCTAAATGAGCGCAAGGTGCGAACGGAAAGGAAATGCGAATATAAGAACTAGTATAAGTACTCTTGTATATACGCATTTTTAGGAACACTTTCGTAACGCGCATTTTAATGGGTCCACTTGCACTCGTTTTTTAGTAGTTACAGAAATTTTATTGGGCTTAAAGACGGACCGAAACTGGACATTGTTGGGTCACAGGAGAACGGGTCCTGGGAACTAAAGGAACCTGATTTATGTAGGTGCAAGTTACGTTTACTTGGAGGTATGTACGTTTAACGACATACTGATTAAAATCAAGATAGACACCGTGTAGTTCCCTCTAGAAATATAATATACGTATTTCTTTTAGTTCCGCGTACCGAGGCTTGTTAAATTAAAATACAGCATTTCTCATTTTATTACGCTATGCTGTTTTGTATATAGCCTCCTGATATAAGGGTACTTGATTTTTTAACAGTAACTAATTGATGAGACTTCATCAAATTTACCATGCAAATTATTATATTAATTTAGGTGAATTTACAGATTTATATTTAAATCAAAATTTTGTTGCCTAAACATTTCAACATTTATTTTTAACATTAGATGCTTCTCGGCCGTCAATTCACCACTTTTGCTTTTCTTTTTTTTATCGTAATGTTTTCCAATTTTATGACTTTTACTCATTTCTTTTTGTTAAATTGTAAGCACTTTAATTCATAAACTTGGACAACCATCGCCATTCTAATATTAAACTACAAGAATTAAAATATGTGAATTGAAACGTATGTACAATACACAGACAAGGATTTTAAGTAACACACCTCAGCATACACGTGGAAGTATATTTATTGACCTAATGTGCATCTCTACACACGTGAAATATAATAATTAACAATTATAATAATAATAGCCGACGTATAATACAAGTTCAAGGGGAGGGGTAGTAATAATTAATAAGAAACTAATCGTTCTTTTTGTTTGTGACAGCTGCCTCAATGCCTTAAAATCCCTAGCACTCCTATAGAGTTAACCTTTTGGCTTGACGGAGAGAGAAAAAAAAAAAAGAAATAGAAATTACACATAAGTACGATCCAAGTAAATAAGAATTCAAAAGAAACACATAGCAATTGTATGCGCACCACGCATTGGCTACGTACACTGTCGAAGGCGACTTTGCCCTTATTTCCGCCGCTTCGTTGATAATGCATTTTAATATCTAGGTTTAATTATCGTCCGCGCAATGCGGCTACACCGAAACCAAATCCTTTGAAAGCACAATCGACCGATAAATGATAAATGTCTTCGGGAGGAAACCATAAGAGCTGTATACAAGCTCCGAAAGGAGAGCTAAAGAATTTCGATAGAAAATCCTTACGTCATCACTACTGAAATAGAGATCGAGCCACGACTCGTGACAAGTCGTAATGTTCAATCGAAAGCTGCTCATGAACAGTATTTCGTATCGTTAATCAACATTAGATCGAGTCGTTCGTAATAAATTGGCCACCGGCGTTTAAATCTTTAAGATCCACTCGACACGACAGAGTAAACATCCCGATTAGTCAAATTCTCGTGCAGTTAGAACGCTCGACAGATACCAGAATAAATGTATTAAAAGCAATGTATATAATATATGCTTGATCCATAGAAGTATATCAATATAAACGACGCGTTACTGTGTAAAGGTAATTTGAGATATTTCACATTTTACTGTGCGCTTTTATAATTGTTCTCCGTTAGAATTGTCTGTCGCGTATGAAACTTATCGAAGCACCTACTGAAAATTTCGACGGATTTAAAACCCTTTCCTAGGTTAATCGGAATATTCGCCGGCTCTAAATTAATACCTTGGGATATTTCGAATTGCCTCACGCCGCGATGCGTTCCCTACGTTTTCGTTACTTTACTTCTGTCGTGCTTGAAAATGTCAAAGCAACGGATTAATATCGCCGTCTAAAGTCTGGTACAAAACTATAGAGTTGAATCGCTACGACACTGCTCATATTACTATTTTTCATTTCTTCTTTGACACATAATCTGCTGTATATATCGTGGCCCGATTTGCTGCCTGGCTAAATATGATTCTTTTTTTTCCTTTTTTTTTTTAATCAAGAAATTGGAATTCGTTGTCCACCCACATTCAATTAAAGGAATGGTCGTTCGATTTGCCCTGATACATCGCAAGGAGGTGTTCTCGGCTTTGCTGAGTAATTGATCGATGACAATTACATCAATGATCGTGCAAACCCTGATAAAGTACTCTCTGCCAGTGCAGAATCAATGTCGCTATACCAGATAGTCGACAACATGAACAACTCCCAGACTGAAGGGAATCTATTGAGAAAGGGTTATAAAAAGATTCCACGATCATTGAAATGGCTCGGAACGGTATAAAAAAAAAATGCGATCTAACTGGAATTGTAATTAAGTAATTAGACCATAATATCTCCGTAATCCTGAAATACTTCCGTTGCCGACCGATAGGCGATCGTTAATCAGATGCTCAGTTAACGTTGAGGGGAACTTGATCCCAACCGATAATGCAATTAGATAAATTATGGATTAATTACCAAATTATAATTATAGAATGATTGGACCGTCTCTCTCGGAACTTGTCGCTAGCTGTAACGAACACACCTCCTTGCGATGGGCTTTCCAAAGTCGATCGAGACTTCTGTGACTCAGTTTAACGGCTCAACCTCCACGTAGTCATAGATGAAGGGCGGAGACGAATCGGTGGGATTTGACAGGATTTCCTGTGTGGGCACTAGCTCGATGCCAGGATTGGCCCATCCGTCGATCTTAGAACCTCCGATATCCAAGCCAAGACGCAAATTGGCTGGAGTGTTGCCAATCACGAAGTGGTCCTCCGTCAGAGGTAGCGCGTCTTTGAGCAAGAGCCTGAAAATACACGAAAGAAGCGTTTATTAGAGAGAAATTTCACTGAGTACATTATACTGCCTTACGCCGGTTCTCCAACAACTGGTATTAAGTATCGTGTAAACGTTTTAAGCCGGTGTTATCGGTAAAATCGGAGTAAAACGGCGTTTATGCGATACTTAAGGCGGTAGGAAAGTGGCATCTGAGGACTTAACCATATTATAACACTTTTATCCGAATTGAGCTTACCGAATCGTTTGAAACTATACTACGTGAATATGAAGGCCCTAGGGAAGGTCTTGACATCCATGAAAATTCAATTTTTTTTTTTCTTAAATATTAAACACATGTTTATAAACCAATTTAACAAAATTAAATCTCATGGGTGAAGGGGCCTTCATTGACGAGACCTCTTAGACACCACCTTCATATCGCCTTAATACTAGTAGTTATAATACTAGCATAAAATAGCACGTGTAAGTGTGCTAAACCATATATAAATAGATCTTTGGATATATAGTAGAACTACTACACTGCATATCGTTTGCCTATCAGGCAAGATATCAGCATGAAATTCTTTTCTGTTGGTCATTCAAGTCCAAAGAGTTCCTATTAATTGAATTAAAATGGAAACATCAACGATCCTTACCAAACTGCTTCATCTGCTACAACGTGGACCTTTGGCACCGGAAATCCGTTGAATGGAGAAGCAACCGGTAGAGTGTAGGCTCCCATGTTTTCAAAGATAATCCACTCTCCGAGATCCATTTCGTGAAGCAGAATGTTATCGACAACTTGATCCAGACCGTCACAAGTCGGTCCCCAAATGCTCGAGGGAATCATCTTGCCGCAGCCACTCTGGAGTTAGAATAGATCAGAATTATACATCTGGATGTTTATTTCCTAGGTGTATATCTAAGTTTTCGCATCACCCTGTACAAACCTTGAGTGGAATAGGCGTAACGTGCTGATGATCGTAGAGAAGGCAGTTAAAAGAACCGTAAACACCGTCGTTGATGTAGTACATGTTGTGCGTAATGGTAGATGGCGATTTCTCGTCGCTGCGTACCGAACGTTTGCTGTGAATACTAGTTGCCAGGGTGAAAGCAGAAGCTACGTAGAAGCGGCCGGGTTCGGCAATGATGTGGACGTCATCGGCTAAAAAGACAGTTATGTTCAGTACAAACTTCCTCAACGACCGTTCTCTTATTTTTAACACTTTCGTTTCTAGAAGGTGACGCTGCACAAGAGTCACTAGAAATTCCGCTCCGCGGATGACTTCAACATTTCCTTTCGATTCTTCTTAGGGACTAAAGGATTTCAATATGAGCTTCATGAAGCGCTTTTTATTTACATTGACAAACAGAACTTACTCGGAAAGTATTCGTCGATAGCCTTGTTGATGACATCGGCCATTTTATCGATGCTAGTGCCTTTGTTACCAGGGTAGCCACCTCCGAGATCGAGCAGGTAAGGCTTGAAGCCTAACTCGGTAGCCAGATCGAAGAGCATCTTAGCATGGCAAATGGCTCTCTTGAATACCGGAGGGTCTTGACAACCAGACCCTACGTGGAAGCTCACTCCCACAACATCTAGATCCAACATTCGAGACACGTGCAGGAGATTCGGAGCCTCGAAGTTAGGGTCGCAGCCAAACTTCATCCCCAGCTGACACTGAGCTAGTTCGGCATCGCACCGAATGCGAAGAACGATCTGAAATCCCATTTGCAGTTAAAGCACCGTGAACAAGGGATACAGATCGATTTCATTCATCGGGAGGAAAAGCATTGACGTTATAGACCGTGGAGTCAAACGTCGGATTCAATCCGAAGGACAACATAAAGAGGAGATCAAAGAATACCAGTATTTTCACATTAGAGTTGAGTAGTTCGGGTATTCCAAATCGGCATACTAACCTTGGCCGCTGGGTGTAACTTTTTGATCTTGTGCAGCTCGCTTTCGTTGTCAACGGTCATGGTGTCAACTCCAACCGCTGCAGCATGGCGAATGTGAGAAGCGGGCTTGGCAGGGTTCGCGAAGATGATCCTCGAGGAGTCGACACCCACGCCTAATACTTTGTTAATTTCAGACTGTAAATGAAGAAACGTTGTCTCATATAGTAAATAGAGGTAGATTTAATTTCAGATTTATAGCGTACTCCCGTGATAACTCACTTTTGATGCGCAGTCGAATCCAATACCAAGGGATGCCAAAACTTCGAGTACGGTCAAGGTGTCGTTACATTTCACCGCTGTGGAAAAAGGAACACATTTTAGACTGTTGCAGTCGCCGGTGTCTTCAAATTACCAGGTCATGTTATTAATTAATATAGGGGATGTAAATAGATTTATTGTGTTTTATGTACCATAATAAGGATCGACGCGTGGGAGTCTCTCCTTCCAGATTTGGTGTTTGTGTACAATGTCTCCGATGTCAAGTACGTAGAAAGCTTCTTCTTGCAGACCGCTGGTTGCGATGTCTTTAATGACGGTCATAACACTCGACGCACCGTCCAACACGTGGATGCGTTCGTCCAAATTTGTTACCTTCATGATGATTGCTTAATTGAGAGGTCGAAAGTTTGATGGGTACTCTATAGGCGCTGGGGCAGCAAACTGAAATGAAAAAGTAATCGATATAACGATCGATCAAAGACATACATACGCCAAGTTCCTTCAGCTATTTAAAATGGTCGTTCAAAGACCACCCATATTCCAGCCATCTCAGAAATTAATCATCGATACTTGCATGTCAATATCACCTACTTCCTCACATTAAGTTCTGCAAAAACAGCTCGATACCTTCAAATCATCACAACGCCTTTGATTATTCTTCCTCCCTCCGTTTAATTAATTAATGCTAACCTTCGACTTAAGACACCTGGTTGGACTCGACCGCACACCCCATTCCGTATTTTCTCCATACATTTTATATATTGCACTTTCCCCACACTGTGTACTAATTTTATGTTACCACCGCAATACTTAACCTTCCTTAAAAAAACTTAGTTTCCATACAGTCTAATTTTCATTTGCACTTTATAGCGAAGAGATTGAGACCACGTGCCTGTGTTCGCGATACTCTGAATTTGTATAAAAAAAAATAGTTGCCGGATTTCTTTTTCCATCCATGGAGTATCTTAGTCACTATTTAAACACATGAAATGTAGCATCATGTAGCAATTAAAGATAGGTCAATACAAAATACGAATGAGCACGTGTGTAGTTAACGAAGTGGTTCAATGTAGAGCATATGAGGGGCAATTTTCGGCCGAAACGACCCGAAATGGTGGGCGGCCTTTGATAATATTTGAACGTCAAGTGATACGTACGAGGCAGCTGTCAATGAGAGGTGGGTGAGTCGTGGGGAGGCGGATTAATACGAGATCACTGTGGGGGTGCTAGCAAAGCCACGGGGGCTCTGCGTTCAGGGCCAACTTCCAGTTGCCGCTGTTGCTCGGACACCCACCAACAGACTGGCCTACCAGCCTATCGCAGATAGATCCCTGGAACAGAAAAATTCATATTTCATTTAAACACCTAGAATAAACACAACGATATTAATAATTTCAACCCGAACGTTTCTGCGCATTCTCCCCTCAAATCAATACCAAACGCTTTATTCTGCGCACTTGGCGCGAAACTCTACTGATCGTCGTGATGACTTAACGAAAACACCCGAGACAAATCATTACGGACATCAGAATACGACTCAGTAATTAAAAAAAAAAAAAAAAAAGGGACAGGTTCATTCCCGGATGTTACTTCAACTTTCAATATTTTTACTCCGATAAAAATGTATCCATGATAAACCTTGCATGGCGATGTTGATGTGGCGGGAGAAGACGTGATTAATGAGTATTCGATTTTTTTTTTTTTAAAGATGCAAGTGTAAAATCTAAATATTGCCCCGGAAGGAGGGTAGTGAGTTAATGTCTTGTGATGTCGGGGTGGGAAGGGGTTAAAATAACGATGAATTAGGAAATCGCCGAAGCTGTAGGAAAAAGACAAGTTGAGCATAGGGAGGAGGAAACAAATGATGCAGGAAGGATTATAACTGTTACCTTGTTGAAAACCATCGGTGGTATGATTTTTTTTCCAAGGTATCGGATAGGCGACATATGTACAATTGGGAGATATGTACTATTGGGAGGAAATAATACATATGAAAGGTGCAACATATCAGTACGTTCCTTTCTTCTTAGAATCTCTGTTTTTGGAATATTTCTGCAAATCATATTTTCCTTAATTGTATTGACATCGCGGCTGATTTGTTTATTAGTTTCCGCTCCGGGAATCAATTCTCCCGTTTTCCTTCTCAGAAGGTAAAAGTGTGCATTCAAGATGATTTCAACGCATCGCTTCATGAATTCTGAACGAAACCAGACGAAAGCGGAATACCAACGAACACCACGAATACTTGAACAGCGAAATTGACACGGTACAATTTTCAAATATCAAGAAGATTCTAATTTTAAGCCGACTTTTCGCCTCCCCAAGAAATTCATGAATTAAATCGCGTGCACTGTAATTGCCAGTGGAAATTAATCCGCTTAAACAAAACATATTCTCTCGATTCTATAAATCGCTAATGAGATAAGTAATTACCGTAGCCGTCGAAAAAAATTTACAATTGCTTTCACTTTCAATGGGGGAATCGAAAAATGCGCAAAACGGCCGATTATTCTAATTAAGCTCCCGAGGTATCGACTTTAATTTTCGAAAGCCAAGGCAGTGTCGTATCTGACTCTCTTATCGTGGAGGTTTAAAGATCATTAAGCGGGAAAAGTTGCGAGCCGAAAAGTAACTCGCATTATTCACTGGTGCATAAGAAAGGCAATTAAAGCGACGGCCTGAATTCTTAAAGAAAGATGAGAAGAAATCGGTTTCCTAGATGCAGTAAAGACGATAGATATCCGTTACCGCAGACTGTCTGGTGCCAGTCTCCTGATAATGACGACTTATCCCGAGGCCCGAAGATGAGCTCCTCAAACCATACTCTCATGGCTGCCGATAAACAAGTTCAATGGAATATCATAAAATGAACACCGAGCAAGAAGAATCGGCGACGATACTTCCCTAACTCCTTTCCTCCTTGACTTTGTAACAAACAATCGTTTATCACTTACCCGCCGTTCGATAACGAAAAGGAGAGGAATAACTCCGAAGTTAAAAATTGGAATTAATTCCTCTCTCGTATATCGAATTGAAGGAAATGTTTCGATCTCCCGAAATAATTCACCCCGTCCGAAAGACAATCGTCATCGATTTATTCTCAGAGTGGAGATAATATTTCGCGAACGGCAAAAAGTACTGCGAACTCGCGATAAGCCGTTTAAATAAATACTTCCGGCTATTCCTCGTTACGTTCCAAATGATTCTTTCAATGTAAAGAAATTGATCGACTTAAAAGGCAGATGACTGATAATTCCCTCCTATCATTTTGACTAAGATGTAGTTTTTGAGCCTTCTCCATTCCCCAAGTAATGATGAAACTCGATGACAGAATGCAAGAATTCATTACGTTTAAAAGTAAATACCATCGAAAATGATTTCGAGGCAACCCGAAGAGGTGCATAAACTCCAAAGAAATACAGAATCGTACCTGTTGGTAGGGCATCATTTTCATGCCTCCATTATTACTCGGCGAAACAAAACCCGACGAAAGAACGCAAGAGGTAACCACGTCCGAAATAAAAAATAAAAAAAATAAAAAACCTACAGCAGCATAAAAAAAAAAATGTTCTGAAACGACTTAAAGAGGCCGATCGAATCAAAAGAAAGGCAAGAACGTACCTGATCGTAGGACGTAATTCTCGTGCCTTCTTTATCACACATGCAATGACAAAAACCCCTTGGGAGAGAACAAGTAGCTACTTGGCGTCTTTTGAGCTTTCGGCCCCGCGGGTCAAAGGTAACGGCGAAAGAGAAAGAAGAAGAGAAAGAGAGAGAGAAAGAAGACGAGATCGAAGACCGCTGGAACAGCTGATCGGGAAAGCGCGAGTTCTGCGGCCTCGCGAAGTATCGAACGGTACTGAGCCCGAAGTAACTATTTGGGCCACTATTTATACGAACGTGATAAGTATTATCAGCCGGTTTACCCATGGTTCCAAGTCTATATGAAGGAGAGCACATCTTATCTGACGACAAAGAGGTACATGGTTCATGAAGATCGCATCGGAGCGGTGGAGTGGTGGCGGTGCGCACGCCACTCGAGGGTCAGTCTCCATTGGGGGCAGTATAGTATCATGACTGAACACATTCTACACGTATATCGTACGCGATGTGCGATATTGGCGCAATCATTGTAGATGATATCCAACACCAATACACGAGTCTTGTCTCAGGGATTTCGCGGCTCGAGGAGGAGCCGCGGGGATTCCAGGTGCGGTATCTACGATCTTGATTTCTCTTCTTCAACGAACATGTGTCCTATCAACAACGACGAAGATAGAACCTCCGATACCTTTTTTCGAATTAACACTAGATAGGCATGACTGCAAGCCTACTTTTAATGAAATCCGTCATTTTTACAGACACGTTAAACATCTCGTTACGACACTAAATGTACCTATTTCCGGAAGATAATACTAGTTTTTGTATATTTTAGGCGTAAACCTTGAGGTCCATCAAATCTAATGTTGAGCAAAACTAATTCTTAAATCATTGGGTAGCTCTTGAAATATTAGGCATTTTTGTTTTACCGATTCTTTCAAGCGTCATGAACTTCTGTTAATCAACGGACTGACTTATTCCAATGCAGTGTCGTGAGAAAACGCACGCAGTTCTTGCTATTATTCTATTTAAAAGGGCATACACACGTAGGTTCTTTCAAATAGAATAATTGCAAGAACGCACGTGGGTCGTCAATTCGTCTTATATGAGTTTCAGTTTTTCACTACACATTTTTTTTTTTATTGAACCTTTTGTCGATCAATGGTCTACATTGGGGGCAGGGGAGTATCGTGACTAAATACATTCTACGTGTATATCGTCCTCGATGTACGATATCGACACAATCATCCAATACCAATGCACGAGTCGTCTGGTGGATTTTGCGCGTTCGGAGGAAGGGGTTATCCAGGATGTTCATGTATCGATATCTGTAATCATGATTTCGTTCAACGAATGTACTAATGAGATTGTCACCCGCGCCGTCTTAAGGATTTCGCATGTTCCAAGAAACGAGCATCAAGAATATCCGAGTATCGATATCTATAATCACGATCTTCCTCGAGAAATTAACGCCACAAGACGCAAGCTTTGCTAATCCCCCTGGAGATTTAATTAAGCCCCGTTTAAAAAATTTTTCATTGCACGTTTTCATATTCTTTTGAATCCGATCAGTGATTAGACTCCTCTAAAGTCAGTACCGAGGCATTACCGGATATAAACCACATATTATGAATAATATTAATCTACGATTCATAATCTTCCTCGACAAATTAACGTCACAAGACGGAAGCTTTGCTAATCCCCCTGGAGGTTTAATTAAGCCCCTTTTTAAAAGATGTTTCATTGCACGTTTTCTTATTCTTTTGAATCCGATCAGTGATTAGACTCCCTCTAAAGTCAGTACCGAGACATTACCGAATATAAACCACATATTATGAATAATATTAATCTACGATTCATAATCTTCCTCGACAAATTAACGTCACAAGACGGAAGCTTTGCTAATCCCCCTGGAGGTTTAATTAAGCCCCTTTTTAAAAGATGTTTCATTGCACGTTTTCTTATTCTTTTGAATCCGATCAGTGATTAGACTCCCTCTAAAGTCAGTATCGAGACATTACCGAATATAAACCACATATTATGAATAATATTAATCTACGATTCATAATCTTCCTTGACAAATTAACGCCACAAGACGCAAGCTTTGCTAATCCCCCTGGAGGTTTAATTTAGCCCCTTTTAAAAAAATGATTCATTACGTTTTCTTTTTCTTTTGAATACGATCAGTGGTTAGACTCCCTCTATAGTCAGTATCGAGACATTACCGAATATAAACCACATATTATGAATAATATTAATCTACGATTCATGATTTTCCTCGACAAATTAACGCCACAAGACGCAAGCTTTGCTAATCCCCCTGGAGGTTTAATTAAGCCCCTTTTTAAAAGATGTTTCATTGCACGTTTTCTTATTCTTTTGAATCCGACCAGTGATTAGACTCCTCTAAAGTCAGTACCGAGACATTACCGAATATAAACCACATCTTATGAATAATATTAATCTACGCGTCGAGGCAACTTCTAAGAAATTGTAAAAAGAATTAAGAAAATATATATTAGATTTCCAGCTGGCGTTATCTACAGTCAGGAATTTTTTTGTTTAATAAATATACTTAGAAATATCGTGACTAGGAGTGAAGTCGAATTTTTATTAGAGCGAATAATTCCGAAAACGACGCAATTTTTCGTTCCACTTTCGCTCATCGAACCGCAAGCCGATCGATGGCTATGTCCGCGTTGGGCAATGTATTATCGTGATTAAACCCATA